TAAACTTTCTTTTATTAAAGTAAAAAGGCTGCATGTTTTTCTAGGTTCCCTTTGATTGATTTGGGATTTGGAATTTCCCCATTGTGGGACAAATAAAGGAATATCTTATCTTATTGATGCTTACAAAGCTTTAACATCAAATAATGCAACCAGTCTGAATAAGTGTGAGTGACTATATATAGAACATCATGTAAACAAAACATACTGTAGTCACACTGCGACTGTGGAAAGACAAAGCATTCAGTTAAAATGAAATATACAGAGCATCTGTTCTTAATGCGGACCATTTTCATGCCTATTTCCACACCATCGAATCATTCTGCTATAGATGCCCCTGTTAAGCGATCAACACTGCTGATCAGCAAGTAATGAGTCAAGTTTGCAGTCAATGAAACACAGTAACACACAAGACCATTCCAACCCATCTGGTTAGACCAGAGCAGCAGGTAAGCACAAAACAGTGAAGTATCGTTTTGAGTAGTTTGATTGTTGATGCACATAGTAAGACCTCACACAGGATATCTGCAGCCATGTTATGTATTGTGTCTCCTTCCTCTCACCCTCTTCTTGATTCGTTGCCGTGAGCTGACAGAAACCCTGAGAGGCTGTGAAAGCCCTAATGACATCATCAACCATAGCCCACTACCTGCAGCAGTGCCATCCTACAGTCCAGTCAGCTGAGTCAGCAGCTCTGCTCGGCTGATGTATAGCAGCTGTCGAGCACTCCTCCTCTTCATCCCGTACATCACAATTTCATTGCACCCGTGCCACACACACACACACACACACACACACACACACACACACACACACACACACACACACACACACACACACACACACGTGTAAGAAATATCAATATAAACACTGTCCTGTTGTCCCATAACCAGTGTTATTTAACTACTGCCATTAGCAGTACTCCAGTGAGGATTAATTCACATGGGTGTATGATAACATCCATAGGAGGAAGTCATTAGATTGGATCAATACTCTATTCCCTACAGAAGAAGAACTGCCACAGTGGGACACAGTAGCAGTGGAGGCCAGGATTAAGTTAGTGCAGGGGAAGCAAAGAGAAATGACACCGTATGATACCTTTATTACGTTATTACATTACAGCCCAGACGCTGATACCCAGAACTAGCAGGGGACGTATTCATACGATTATGTTCCAGGATCAGATAGCAGTATGGGACAGATGTAAGGAGTCTACACAGCACTCGACTGCAGCTGCCATATGGTGGCAATTTTGTTAATATACTTTTAATTAGTTCAACCGAAGATCAATTAAAAAAGTAAAACTTGCTAAGCTGGAAGTCTAGTAAAGAGAGCTAATAACTAACATTATCATTACTTCCCTACAGTCACAGGAGTCCAGGAAATACCACATCCTGAAAAATGCAAGCACATGGGCCTGTGGACAGGGGACAGGATACGTATGAAGACTGGGTTGTGTTGGCTGGATCCATTTCCTGTTTCTTTGCAGAACTTAATCAATATCATTTTACAGATTAACCACCAGAGTGAGGAGACAGGGGGCGTCAGCAGCTGACGGAGATGCAGTGTGAGTCAGAGAACCTTGTCAGCAATTGCCATTTTGAAACAGGTTGACATTAAAAATAGAAGTTTAACTGTAAGACTAAAGAAAAAAGCTGTTTAGTTGGTAGGGCGCTTATCACAAGTGGTGTGGTTAACTGGAACATGATCACATCCCCCTAATACACAGGAAACACTGAAAAAGGAAGTGTGTGTGTTCAATTTTCTTGTTGATAAGGATAATCTACTTACTTCAATGTGACAAAAATTCAGTGTCTAGTGTTTTAGATTAACCTCATTCTTTCAAATCAATTCGCAGTTTTAAAAAAAAGAAGGTATAACTGACACACCTAGTCATTTAATTGATTATTTAATTGACAGAAAATTAATTGTTTTTCAAGAAAAAATGCCTAAAAATTCACTTGTTGCAGCTGCTTTGTCTTCTATGACGGATAGATTGAAATTTCCATTTGACATTTCATAGACCGAACAATTAGTCGAGACAATAACTGACAGATCAATCGATGAAGGGTCCTAATTATTAGCTGCAGCCCGATTATGGAACAGGCACAGAGAAAACACCACCTACAAAAGAATTATATAAAATAAAAACACAAACAAAAATTAAAAATTTTTGCTCCATGGTCTTTATAACATGCTGTATGTTATTAGTACGAACAGGCATCAGCTGTTGTACAGTTAAACTAATTAGCCAAGACAATAATGTGGACTAGGTGGGTGAACCAGAACTCAAAAGTTTTGGGCTGTTGTTAAATTGAATTTGATTGAAACCACTATAGAATAGCACAATAGGGGCTGTCAAACCCATCCGCTCCTTCATATTGTAGAGTACAGTGGGAGGAACATTTCACCATCACGACCAATTGTGTCAAACAATGACGACAGTTAATTGGCAGAAAGCTACTATCGGAGCCTTCAGATACTTTTGATTGCATTCTTTCCACCCTCCAATTACTTTTCCTCAGAACCTATCTCTGAAGGCAGAAAGTATGAGTTAATTTGCAAGCACACAATGGCACAGTCCATTAAGACTGCAGGCTCCTTCGCTTGCAGTTTGAGCAGCTTCACAGACAGTCTCAGTCGCCCTCTTCCTCCTGTTTGAATACATAATCACGGCTTTACTTTCTCATTTCTCCCTTCACTCGGTCCTGTGAGGACGACTGACGACTTCGGAGTCCGTTGACAGCTCAGGGAGCTCAAGGTCTGGAAGAGATGAGATTTCTCATCAAAGCAGAATCCTTGTTGATACCAGCAAAATCCCTCTTTGTCAGCGGGCACACAGTCGGCCCGGTCATGAGGCAAGACCAGGGCCAGGGAGAGGGAAGCAGACTGTTGTAAGTGTAAGTGTATGATGTGGTCATATGAGAGGATTTTTGCTGCAAATAACAAAGTTGGTGCAAGTACAGTCAAACTTTTGAAAGAAAGACACCTGAATATAACACTTTCCTTCCCATCTTGACTGAGAATAAATGTAAAAGTCACTTGATATATTGCTGCTATAAAAAAAAAAAAACCTTCTAACCTTGAACATTTGATATCATTCCTGTAATTTAACTAATCATATAAAGTATCTAAGCAGTCATCATGAAAACTTTGACAAGCTGGAATGAATAAAAGGCTGACTTCTCCTTTTTGCTTTTTTATTTTTTCTGTAATGTAGATTAATACTACAACTACTTCTTTATCAAAGTCAAGATGTTTGCTTTGTTCAACTCAAGTACGAAAACTAAGATTAGAGCTCCAACTGCTCGACTACAAAAAGGCCACTGTCCGTGCCCATTTCTCAAACGCTCAACTGTGTCAGAAAATTGAACAGTGTTTGTGTAGAAAAGAAGCCAATCTATATGCAGTAATCCCATGAGGAGGCGAGATTAGTTACGCAGCAGCACAACAGAGAGAATAAGCATTGTGTTATCTGCAAGTTTATGCATGCACACTCCATAGATACCAATGGGACAATGAGGCTTCTTATCACAACAAGACCTCAGTATTTCACAACACTAGCAAAGACATAACCGAAGGCTGCGGTGATGTAACGCACACAGATACAGCTGCTTTCTCGCCCTGCTGGTAAACTGAACACCACACTGGAGTCTGCATCATGGTAAAGATGGTATTTTAAGAAGCTGTCTTTGACACAAAGCCAAGACTTTGTCACCTTGGAATGAAGATGAGTTTAAAGTTTCTTCCCTCCTACTGGAAAGAAAATAAAAACCACAGCCAGCAATCTACGGGTTGGAAGTGAGAACAGAAAGCTGTAGAGTGCAGCACTTTGCTATGTCTTTAAATAAAAAAAATAAAAAAAAGATTAAAACAAACTGCAGCTGCTAGGTACCATGCCACACAGCAGGACTGGAGAGTAAGGTGGCACAGACAGAGGAAAGCTGATCTTGCAGCCAATGAGGAGACAGAGTGTAACCAGAGAGCCGCTGTAACAATTAACTGATTATTGGGTCTGATGGCAGATAAGGGTACAAACCTCACAGTTTAATCCAATTGCGGAATTGGATATGAAAGTAGAATCATATGGCTTTAGGCAGCTGTAGCCTGTGGAAGTGCAGCGGGACTATACTCTCGCTTTATTATGGTTCATAATAAGGAAACATCCGGCCGGACAGTGCGCCTCAGACCTGAAGTCTACAGTAAATGTGAAATCAGAGCAGCAAATGCTTCTGTGAGACAAAGGAAGCTGCTGAGATCACATCTGTATCCGTCCATCATCCATTAACATAGCAATCAATATCGATCCAGTGTGGTCAACTCAGAAAGGGGGAAGAGACCAGCTGCTACATCGCACTGTGACCCATGATCTTTATTCATATAATATAAAAAAAAACAGCATCCTAAGACAGCAAGGATGGAAAGAATCGTTTGATAATTCAACTGAATGCAATCACTCATATTTTCATGACCTGGTGTCCCTATAAAAATTATTCCACCGCAAACTGAGCGCTACAAAAAGGCGTAGGGGAAACTAACAAAGGCTTGTCGGACACAGTCAAAATTAGTCTGTCTCTCACACACACACACACACACACACACGCACACACACACACACACACACACGATACTGAATGAGCAAACCCGAGCAATAAATTAATTAAAAACAGCAATCTGCTGCATTCAACTGAATGTCCATACCTTAAAACCACAACCGGCTACGGTGACCGTCGCTGGGGAGGGAGGGGGGAGAGAGAGAGACCAACTCTCGGCTTCTACAGCAGCCAATTAAAAAAAAATTAAAAAGCCAAATTCTCACACATTCACATCCCAGTACAGTCCAGACGTCCGTCCGTCCGACCGACCGTCAGCCGCCTCCGGTTGGATTTAATAACGCGAAAGGCGCAGCGGAGACAGAGGAGCCTCAGTGTGGACGGACGCATAGCTGCATTGGACCAAATGTGGCTCCATAATCCATCTAAGACATAAAAGAAGACACTCACCGCTGTGTTTGGCACCGAATGACGACGCTGTGTTTATTGCATTGCCCCCGCTGAGCAGCTGTGTGTACTGGTGCGTCACACTGACTTCCGTGTTTAAGATGGAGTTAAAAAAAAAAAAAAAAAAATCCGAGAGATAATGAATTTAAAGGACAGGCGGCGCACGCGGGCGCACAGAGGGCTCTGCACTAACTGAACTGGAGAGATGAAGATGAGGATAATGAAGGTGATGAAGGTGATGGTGGTAGATATAATATCATATTTACTCATCAACCAGTAAATATCTTGAGTGAAATTTCCTGTTTTACTTGAGTTGCATCAATCACTGTTATCAACCCCACCTCCAGCAGTATGGTAGCCAAAAAGGCTCAAACAAATCTACTATACAACACCTGCAAACTACCGGTGTAGTAGTAGTGCAGTGGTTCCCAACCTGGGGTCAGGACCCCCCCACTAGGGGTCGCCAAAGCTTTAGGAGGGGTCACCAGGCCTTCTTGATTTTAAGGGGTTTAAGAAAATGTTTAAAAAAATAAATGTTGTAAGCCAATATCTCAGCATTTCGTCATTTTCTGTGAAGTAGACTAAATTTAAATTGTTCGCTTAGGTAGTATGTATGTTTGTTAGAAAAATTAAAAATTGATAATACAGAAAATATGTTTAAAAAGTTCCTAAAAAATATCAGGAAAACTCTGATCAGTTCCCATCCAAATGGCTCGTTTTACACAAACTTCTTGCAGTTATTGTGTTCACTATTTGGGTCTATTGTACAGTTTATCTGTTGTTATTGTTATGCATTGAATATAATAGGAAATATCCATCAAATATGTCACTTAGTCAGGGGTTGTCAGTTTACTAAATGATAGAAAAGGGGTCCCTTCAGGAAAAAAGTTAGGGAATTACTGTCCTAGTGGATCATTGAGCAGCTATAGTGGTAGAATAGATATTTCCCTCGGGTCACAGAGTTCATAGAGCAGAAACCAACTACAAATTAAAGCTACTGTTGCTACACATCTGCGTGAAGTGTGTACTGGCAAGCAGCTGGTTCTACTGCAGCCAAAATAATGCATTGACAAGGTTTTATGTAAAAGTTCAACATTTTTGTAATTACCTGTATTCACTTCCTGGCAGGAGGTTGAATACGTCTGTCCGTCCAATAATGTAAAGCTACAGCCAGCAGCAGTAGGTTAGCTTAGCACAAAGACTGGAAACAGGGGGAAACAGCTAGCCTGGCTCTGCCCAAAGCTATCAACAATCTACCTACCAGCACATCCTACTAATTAGTTAACTGTATCTTGTTTGTTAAATTAATACAGAAAACAAAGTATAAAAACAATAATTATATGTTTTACAGTTGTAGTTCTGTTTCTTAACTGAGCTCCAAGTTAGCTCTTCTGGCCAAGAAATTACTAGCCTATATTATGAGGATGATGTTAAACATATTTTTTTAATCATTTAATCATATTATTATAGACATTTCTTATTATTACATTAGATTTTCTATATAGATTCATTTTCAGCCCATAGAAAACTTAATAGACTATGAGACACTATGAATGGCTTGCAGTGTACATTATGACTGTCCTCTCGAGTAAATCACATGGTGTACTGTGACTTCATACCAAAAGAGCCCCTCACTCACAGTGCAGTATGTTGGGAGAAGCTCACTTATTAAACGAGGGAATGTATCCTCTGTTGACTCAAAGCCTCGGCTCTATGTCTGTGAAACCTGTCATTGTGTTTGGTCTTATTACTGATGCACAGTCCGCCACTCCGTCCTTGGGGTGGGACAACGGAGCCTCTGTGCTCTGTCTGGACAAAGTGGGCACCTCAGAAGTGAGTCTGCCAAATTGTCATGCATGTGTCTCTGTGTCAGAGAGATACAGGCTGTCTTCCTGGGTGGCATGGAAGGATAAGGATGTGCCTAATTGAATGAAACACAGCTGGCGTGTTGATAGCCACTGAAACAGTCTTTTCACCATATTTATAGAACTTTAGAAATCCAAAACAGCCACTACTTTTTTATGTTTTACAAGAAGGGAAAAGCAGACACAGAGAGAAGCTTACATTTAGGCATTTATACTGAGTTTGACTGGTGTAACCAACCAGGCCGACAAACAATTAGAATTTCTCGGGTTCAGACTAGAACAGGGTGTGTGAGGACTGGCAGGCATGAGAGCAGGAAGTTGGCATGCCAAGTCCTATAGTGTACAAGTCGCATTTTTCTAAAAAAAGGGAAGGCAGAAAATAGGGAGGACGAAAGGGTTGGTCGGTGAAAGACAAACAACAGAGGATAATGAGTTTGTCCCAGGAGGTCAGTGGTTCTGTCAGTAGGGAGTGGAGCTGACGGGGGCGAGATGGCAGAAGACTGTGTCCTTCCTCCTCTCTTACCTGGTACAGTGAACCTGTAAGACCGGTAGTGCTTGATTGTGTTGTGTTTTGATCACTTCGGCACACATGAGTCAGCATAGTAAACACTATTTCATGATCCAGAACAACACACAAGGTTGAGAGGTAATGGATTATGTTTTGATCTCAGAAAAAAGATACCTTTGGAATAAACAGGACTTCAGTTGCATTAAAATTAGGGGATATCTGTCAAACATCTGTGTAGTCTATGTTCGTCACATCCTATTGCATGCAAAATCATGCAACAGTCTAGTGATTGCAGGTGGTGATTACAGCACTACATATCTGTATATTAGAGATGATATAACTAAATGCAGCTTATATGGATTTTAGACGTTCAAGGTAGGACAGTTCAACTGTAATAGATTACTGTGGTTAATCAGTAACCTGCAATGAAATATGTTCCTTTCCAGTCTCGTACACATTTTGGTACTGAATATTTCCACTGCCACCCTCGCCGAGCAGGATTTCTTCTCCTAAAAGCTGGGTTAAAAAAAAAAGTGGAAAAAAGGGATTGTTTTTCGGTCTGGGCAAAATATAGACTTGCAGCACTTGGCAGAGTTGCAGAGCTGCAAGAGGCAAGCGGTAAACCCTGAAACAGAAAATAGAAAATAGACATTTGGTTTGTTGTGTTTGTGTTACACGCTGCACAGGAACAGTGGAAGACGGTTCCACTGAAGGAGGAGCTGAAGGAAAACCAAATCAAAAACCTGTGTATACCGCAAAAAAGGTACACTGTGTTATGAGAATGACAAGAATCCACTCTTGAAAGAGTAAAGTGATTTAGTATTGCACTTTCATAAAGTTGGGTGACTCATAAAACATAGATTTTAAAAAGAACGGTCAAACTCAAGTTAAGATAAAGCTCCAAAAAACACTGGATCCTACACTTCCCTCAGTCCCCACTCCCAGACTTGAAAATACCCACAATGTCTTTCAAACTCAACGCCCCAGTTTGTATCATTGTACTTGTTAGAAATGTGTCTCCACATAGCCACCGAGCTGAGATACCTGAGTAATGTCACTTCCCTTGTGTAACTCCATGCAACAATTTTCACAGGCTGAGTAGCGGTGGCACAGAGATGTGTGTCCTGTTTTCTGCATTGTGTTGAACCACACGCCCTAATAGTCACTATGTCAGGTGACACTCTCTTAGGCAACAGGGATGAGCAAGTTCAGCATCAGGAATCCCACATAATGGAATTTTTCATGTAATCCTCACTTGATAAAACAATCTCTGATATTGTTATCAAAGTTAAAGTGCAATGGATTATGCCAATTATATTATCTAAATAAGCTTGTATAATTAGTTCAAATGGTTGAGAGAAAACTATTCACAGCCGCGCTATGCGGCTATACTTAGGCACAGCAGTGCTTTGAGCTAAATACTAACATGCTCGCTATTGCAATGCAATTATGTTCACCATTCTAGTTTAACACAAGGTACAGCTGTATCTGATGGCAGTGTCATTAGTGTTGCAGGATAATAAACCAAAGTTAGGTTGGTATCATTTACGTTTAATATTCTAAAACCTGATAAAAAAACAAAACAAAAACTTTGCGGAATAACAACGGTACTTTCTGCTTCTGCGCTGAGGAGTTTGAAATCAGCATGATTGATTCCTTTAAAATTCATCAGATGCCTGTAAACTTCCTCCTTTTGAAAAAGATGCCCCTTCTCCATGTTGAGGTGCATTTATCCGCCAAGAGACTAAGCAGTCTCCAGCAGTATATGCTGCACAGACCAATTATCTTGGATCAAAGCCAGCCAGACAACATGAAGGAGGAAAGTGAGGATAAAAACACTGAGACGTGACTCAGGTCAGGGTTGGTCTGTTGCACAGGAACAGCATCCAAAGAGAAAGCAAAGTGAATAATGAGCATGGCCCCCACTTTTCATTTGAACCTTTCTAGTCAGTGACTCAACAGCAAAGAAAGGAAACATATTTATGTTTCTGATTAAACAAAGTGTTCTCCTCACTCTCCAGGATTAGTTTGTGTTTTGCATGTGCAACACATAAACAAACTGCAACTTTGAAGTTCTCTCCCTGACAAAATTATTAATGTGCAGACATTGCATTTGCAAATGTGAACCAGTGACAGAAGCCCCCAAGGGATCAATCCATATGTGGACATCAGAACTGGATCTGAAAGGTTTAACCATGTGGTGAATCTGAATATTGGTCTTTGTGTGGGGAAAAAACTAACATGTGATTGTATTTAAAAGAAGAAAGAGTTTTTGTGTTCCACAAGTGATATCTAACGTGAACTCATTTAACAGACAATGATATGTAGAGAATATTAACAGCTCACACATGCTTGTGTTATTGGTCAGAGATTATTATTATAATTTTTTTTAAAAAGGCACTAATAACATGCAACCTACTAAGTAAGATAAGTTAGCTGATAGTAGCCCAGTAAGATCACAAGTTCATCCCGAGATAGTGACACAGCGCTAATGAAGAAGACCTAACAAGATGTCATCCTCATCTATATTTGTCCTAACTTTGCCTTTAAATTAGGAGAGTGAGGGGCTTTAATGTGCAACAGGGTCAAAAGATTTCAGCTGGTTGCTAAGGAACTAGCCATGGGTCTGAATCAGGAGGACGGTGTACTGTGACAAGAGTGAGTCAGTGATACCAAACAAAGTTTCTTGTCCACTTCACAGTAATATGAAAACTATTAAGGGGTAGCAGCAGTCAAAGGTCAAACATTCAATG